TTTAAAAAAATACACATTACAATCAAAAACGTTTGCAGTTTCTCTCTTTTTAATATACACACTTTTATCTCATTGGAACTACTATAACTTCTTCCTTTATATATATCTTTGCAAATAAGAAATAAGTACAGAACAAAAATAAAAATACTTTATAACAGAAGATGAAATATAATCTTTTACAGGATGTAAAAGACAACAAAAATAAAAATTCTATAAGATTTTTTTTTTTTTTTTTTTACACAGTTTTGCAAGTACAAAATAACTACAAAAAATAAAATGACTTTAAGAAAGAAGTTGAGATGAATTTTTTTTTAAAAAGGAAATTGTAAATATACAGTAGAATAACAATAAAAATAAAATTTCTATAATGTAAGACTTTTTACATAAAGTGAAAATTCAACTGGTGTCAGAGTCTGTATAGTTTTACCCACTCCAACTCCACAACCCTGTCCTTTAAGCCTCCCATTGAAGTGCACTCTTTTCCACAATGTCTACATATTTTCAGACCATACTCAATGGACATAATAACATTGCTGTTCATGTGACATTGCTGGTGACTTTTGAAGCCTGCTTTACTTTGGCTGGAAGTTCAACATTTTGTCTTTTCTGAGATTTTGTTTCAACTGCTGATGCTTCTACCTCTGATCTTCAAATGCACTTGCTTTCAAAGAATGCCTCCAGCTGCCATGATCCAAAGCAGCATTCTCAAAGTCCTCAAGTGTAATATGTAAATCAACCATTACTCTCTAGTAAAAGTTGCTTGTTATCAGAAATCTGTTTGTCAGCGAGCAATGACTTCTCAATGCAATGAAAGTTAAGATGAGGGCATTTCTTTGTGTCTATATTTTAGCCCATAGGTCATGGGCATTTCTTTTTTTTTTTTGCAAATCTCTTATTAGTCCTATAACACTTAGTCATATGAGGACATACACATGTTAAGTGCCACATACTGTATCATTGTAATTGCAAATAAACTACATCAGCAAACTGGACCAAAATTGTTTCTATTTTAAGGTGAGATCAATAAATTTATTAGAAATGTAAAAGACACTGGGCTAGATTTAACATTTCTTTTTAAACTAACCAAACTTTTAAAAATTAGTTCAGTCCAGTAAAATAGTCTTAAAATGATTTTTATAATGTAAGTCCACTTTCTAGCTGTTTTTTCTTATAAACAAAAGTATGTCTTCTTAAAAATTGTCTATAATTTTGAAATCATTATCATTCCTAAAATTATCAGGACTAATTCTTTTTTTTTGTTGCTTTCTGTAAATTGGCTGAAACATTCTAGTAACAGCAAAAAGCAACAAAAAGACTGTCAATAATGCAAATAATTCTTGTAATTTTTAAATTTTCCCCAGGAAATTATTAAGTCAAAATATAATAAAAATATAGTTGGAAATTAGCTGGACAAAATATTGTCTTTTGAAGCCCTGGAGATCAATGCAGGCACCCCACCCCAAAGCTCTCTTCTAGGTCCTGCCTTCTTTCTGTTTTTTTTTATTAACAATCTGTCTAGGAACATTCTCACATCATTAGTAAACAACCACACAGATGATACCACAGTTTATGAAACTACCAGCAAAAATAAAAAGGATCAGAGCCTTGAAGCTGATCTCTACTCTGACCTAGCTCATACAGCTTAGTTAAAAAAACCAAAAAACAGCTTGTAACTTTAAAAAACAAGCTTGTATCAGTTTATCATCACGAAAGACTGATGAGGATCCATGCTTTGAATGTCTCTTGGGACTCAAGTTCACACCAGATTCAAAGTGGAACTCATATATACAATCCATTGTTAAATATTGGAAAAATGGTCAGGTCATTCTATTGCCCCACAAAGTACGATACATTCTGCTATGCTTTATCTTTACAAAAGTCAGATTAGAGCAAAAATGGAATATGGCCACACAATCCTCAATTTCCTGATTAGGTAATTTATATGTTCTTGTGGGGCAAAAATATGTTTTCCACTCTGTAGCCACTTTCTCCACAGACACAAAGTTGAATGCCTATCATTACTCTATTTCTATTTCCATGTCAAATATTTAGATGAGCTCTATTCTACCAATTTCCTCCATATTTAAATTGTAAGGAAATAGTTCTTCAGTTTTTTGTCAAGAACTATTACTCTGTGAAAAAGACTCCTGTGTAGATGCTCCCCTGAACACTACGATCTTAACCTCTTCAAGTCAAGAGTCAATCACTATCTATCCTTCTCATGTTCACAATTTTCACTTCCTACTATGTCCTCTTACATTCATAGCACACACTTCATTAAGTAAATCTCTACCTTGAGTGGTTCTTGAGCCTTATATTGAATGAACATTAGTTAAAAATAAAAATTATCTATTTAAATCTGCTATGTTCCTAGAATCAACTAATAGAAGTTAGGGAAACAAATCATATTACTGATAAAAAAAAAAGAAAGAAAAAAAAGACAATACCTTTTTTGATGCTTTTTGTAAACCATTGATTTTTACGAATATGGGCGATGGTGTAGCGTTTTGTGTAGTTTTCTTGTAAAATTTTTCTGAGTAAAGCTGTGAGAGAAAAAAAGAAAAATATTAATTCATATAAAAATAATTCAAATTCCATTGGAAAAGAGAGAAATATGAATTAGAGAAAGATGACGAAGTAAAAAAATAAGAGAGACAGACAAATGGGGGGGGACAGACAAATGGGGGGGGAGACAGAGACAGACAAATGGGGGGGAGGGGGAGAGACAAATACATTTGGGAGAGAGAGACAAATACATGGGGGGAGAGAGAGAGATAAATGGGGAAATTTGGGAGAGAGAGAGAGATAAATGGGAAAGAGGTAGAGAGAGAGATAAATGGGAAAGAGGTAGAGAGAGAGATAAATGGGAAAGAGGTAGAGAGAGAGATAAATGGGAAAGAGGGAGAGATAGATAAATGGGAAAGAGGGAGAGATAGATAAATGGGAAAGAGGGAGAGACATGAAGGAGAGAGAAACAGACGACTGTGTGCGAGAGAAAGAGGAAGATAAATGACAGAGCATCAGAGATGGAGGAAGACAGAGTTTAGAGAGTGCAATATAAAGAACCAAAGAGAAAAAGTGAGCACATTTTGTACTGCATCTTGATTTGCAACAGGAACAATTTCGAATCTAATTTCAGAAATACAGTGAGAGAGAAATAGCAACAAAATAGAATCTTGTTACAAAGTTTTCTAAGAAACAAACAAGACAACTGACACAAGGTAAGATTTTCAATTTTGTTCCATGGAGATTTGACCACATTACACAATTTCCAATCTGTATATTCAAGACAGGCAACAGTTGGTTCATCCCAGGGTAACTCTGCAACAAATGAAATGATTCAATGAATGTACTGTACATCACAGCATTTAACATACTAATTTTCAAAGCGAAAATTCATTAAAATAATTTAAGCAAAATTCTTAATAAAGAAAAAATTCTAAAATGCATTTTAAAAATGAAAAACCTTTCTTGAAGCTTTCATTTCAGTTTTAATTCCAAGCTAAAAGGATTAAATTTAATATTTCCAATTAGAAAAATACTTTACCATATTTCAAACCGAATTTGAATTGATTGGAATTATGCATTTTTTTTTTTTTTAAATCAGCAAAATCGTTAAGATTGTTCATATTGACAAATTTCTCAATACAGTATAAGTCTCTTTATTAAAAAATCTTTCAAAAATAAAATATATTTTTCAGAGATTTTGCTTGAGGAAGATTAACTGATTTAAAGTTTAATTAATCTGAATTATAACAAATATTACTTTTAGCTTAAAATATTGCAGAAAAGCAATGTTTTTTAACAAGGAAGTGGGTGTTTTTATGAGGTGTTGACACATCTGTCAATGTTTGCAAAATTTATATAAGGGGGAAAATAATTGTAGTAAAATTACATTACGAATATAGTGTAAACAGCTTTTTTTAATACCCAGTAATTTCAAAAATTTTAAATATTTAAGCATTTTATGTACTTAGTTTCAAAGAGACTTGTTGAGAAAATGCTAGAAAGTTATGAATAAATTTTAAGTTTATAGTTACCACTTTCATTTGCTGATAATGTTGTGTATGGACGTCCATACTTACAAAAATCAGCAGGTTTATACACACAAAAACAATTCAAAATTCTTTATAAAATACTGGGTGGAGGTTGCTGAATTGTAGTAAGCTTTTCTATTAGTTAATATAAACAGTTTCAATAGAAGAGAAAGCAGGTAAGTTTTCTTATATTGTTTTATTTTTTATTCTGTACTTGATTGTATTTAAGTATTTATTCTTGAATGTGTAAGTGTATAATTTAACTTCTAACCATCTTTCACTAGTATAAACAGTTGCTGACCAAAATTTGGACCAAATGGAGAATTATTTGTACATATATTTTCTCCATATACATTTTCCTTTTCACCAAAAACATTCAAATAATGGTCATTGGACAAAAACTTATCTTACTTAGCAGTCACATATGCAGAGGGGAGAGAGAGAAAAAAAAAGAGATATTTGGAACTAGCGGTAAAGAAAAAAAAATAAGTGGTAATTAGATTTTACCTTAATAGGAGACATCACAACTTAGTATAAATATAAATCCTTACCTCCAGCTAACATGGCCACTAAAATAATTCCACAAGACCAGATATCTGCTGGTTGGGCAGGGTAAGGACGACGCTTCACAACCTCTGGGGCAATATAGGGAAGTGTACCACAGCACTTCTCCATTTCCCGTTCACGTCCCTGATAGCGGAAGAGTGTAGCCAAACCGAAATCGGAGATTTTCAGGTTATCTGTAGTTGAAAAAAGAGAGAGAGAGAGAAAGGAAATAAAAACACTGAAAGAAATAAAAATTTACTAACAACTGATATTTACTGTTGTTTTCTTAAGAGAATTTATATACTATTGGCCAAATGTTTGGGGGCTATCGCAGTTCGAGACAATACATATGGCTTATCAGTAAGTTTTAATAAACTCTACTTATCTGCAGAGTTCCCCTGAATATATGTTCAGGACAGATCCATTAATAGGGGGGGGGTGGATTATACCATACCACCCTCTGGATTTAGAAGAATCACCTAAAAATCAAAGGTTGCATACTTTTTACAAAACTACTTTACTAGCCCACTTCAAGCCAGAAGGACTTTATCTGATATTCAATAATACCAATAAAATTAACCCTTTACTGAGTAAAGTTTCCTTCAAATTTTATCTCTTTTTGCCTAATTTGCCTGGCTGGCTAATGGTAATGGTTAGGGCTGGTATATTTCACATTTTAGGTAACCTCCTTTCTAAAAACAGATACCATGAAATAATAGGTTAAATAGTTTCAGCATCATGGTTTAGTAGGAGTTAATTAAACCAAATAAGGCATGAAACTTACTAATTATTAATTCCAGAGGGTGGCCCCACAATTTTGGCTGGCTGGGCATGTTCATAGTTAAAAAAAAAAAAAAAAAAAAAAAAAAGAAAAAAAAAAAAAAACAAGACATTTTGAAGATTTCAAATCAGTACCTGAATTTTGTGGACATGAATGGAATAAGATTGGTGTCAATTTCTACAAAAAAGTTAGCATCAAATTACTTCAATTCTGACAGCCATCATATCAAATAATGGATATGCCATTAAATATTGAACAGCTTTTCTGATATGCATCCAAATTTTGTACCTGTTATTTTCCATTGTATTTGTCAACTTTATGTGTAGTGCATGTTTGTTAGCAAAAGGGACAACCCAACATGCAAATTACACATTGGAGATATCAAAATCAAACAGGTTCAAAAAGTTAGATATCTGGGAAGTATATTAACCTTTACAACACCGCAATAGTTTTTGGAGTTGTATCCCCCTGATTCATATTAATTTTGAATGTGGTCTTGAATGGGGGTTATATTACTAGCACTAACTTTTAGGATTTTAGAGATATTGTTATAAAAGTTTCATGGTATTTGCATGAAAGGATGTAGAAAATGTAGACATTTTTTTTTTTTTTATTACTGTACATATAAATTTTAAGAAGAAAAAAAATCATGAAATCTAAAAGAGTACAACAGAAATGATAAAAAAATGATTCCTACTATCACATTGTGAAAGCCTTGCATATATAAAAGCAGGTCTGTTGACTAGTAAGACGAATACAAAGTTTACTTTGTCAAACCTATCAACAAAAGCAAGGCTAAAAATTCTTTCATTTCTTCAAAGCAAATGTTTTTCCAAGCTCTGATTTGTGAGTTGTGCTTTGCTGTGTCACTTAATTTTATTTTCATATCGTTTGCATATCAGTTAGTTTTCACTATCATTATTGAACTATGTAAGATAAAAAAAGACAAAAAATGTCTACCTCAATAGTTTCCTGATTAACATTTGTAGACCTGGGAGTATAAGAAAACTCTGGTAACCATGGGTGATCATATGTTTGTAATGGTTCAAAAATTCCACCTTAGTTGGAATCACTTTCAGTCTGTCACGCACATCACTGATATCTGCATGGGTAAATTTGAGAAATTCTTCTTCGTCACTTTCATTGTCCATGAAAAGTTTCTCTATCGATCTAACAGATCCATGCCTTGCTCCGGTGGTCACAATTGTGATCAAAAAATGAACGTTTTTTTTTAAAGACATTTTATTAAAATATGCTATAAAACTAGTCTTTCAATTAGGACAAAATGGCTGACATCCGGTCATCTCCTGTTCATATCACAAGCTTAATGATGTCATTTCCATAGTAATAGGATATTTTTTAGAAACATACTTTCCCTTTGAAACAAAGCTCTATCACTCAGCAAACATGTCCACCCAGAGAATATTGAGAAAGTGTATCGCCAGCGGACATTTAAGCCTGCAGAGTTGTAAAGGTTAACAGAGCGCAACAAAGAAATCCCAAGGTGCATTAGTGAAAAATACCTGAGCAAAATATTAAGAAACAGAAAAATATCAAAGAATACTGAACTGTTATATGGCAGTGAATGCTGGACAATCTCCTCACAGATAAAGAAGAGACTTGAAGCAACAGAAATGTGGTTCTACAGAAGGATGCTGAGAATATCATGGACCAAACATGTGAGCAACAATGACGTTCTACAGACAATGGCAACAAAAAGGACACTTATACTTAGCATCAGAAAGAGACAGTTGAGGTTCCTGGGTGCTATAATGAAGGAAGGCTTGGAAAATTTTATACTCGCAGTACAGATTGAAGGTAAGAGAGATAGAAGAAAGCAACACACAACCTATCTGGCAAGCTTGAGTGAATGCAGGGTTTGGGAGAAATGGCAAAAAAACAAAAGTTAATAAGAGCTACAAGGGACAAGAGATTGTGGAGAGCCATGATTATCGGCATATTGAAGGCACTCGGCACATAGATGTGTAGTCAAACATTTCTTTTTATAATATCTCCTAAGTATTTCATTAGGTTAGTTACAATAACAGAAATTATTATTTTCTTAAAATTCCTGTGTGTCCAATACTTTTGTATGTCACTGTATAAATGTATTGAAATGTGAGGTGGTATAATCAGAATAAACACAAAGTTAAAAAAAAAAAAAGGATAAAACTAATTTGTCTAACCAGGCTCTTATTAATGGCATGCTACAACAGAATAAAAAGGATCAAGCGAGTGTGCGGATAATCATTTCTTTTATGATTACCAATTGCTCTAACCGTTGTTAGTATTGACAGGTAGAGCCCAATGCCAGCTGTACCCAATTATAACAGACAGAGAGCAATGAATATACTGTTATATATATATATATATATATATATATATATATATATACTTTGAATATGTGGTGTGTTCACTGTGGATAAGGTCAGGTCAGACTTTTTAAGAAGCTAGGCCATGATGACCTTGAGTAACTGCTGCACAGTTGTAGACTATTGAGATTCACTGTCAGGCAGGACTCACCTTGCTTTAACCCTGGTCCTGACTGAATAAAAAAAATATGGCTATGAGGATTGGCATAGTCAAAAAAGTACTTGAATAAAAATAACAAAATATTCAAACAGTTTATCCACAACTTTGAGCACAATACTCAGTATCTTATACAAAAACAGGAAAAATGTTTTTTAAAAAAAAAAAAAAATCAAACTTACTCCCAAAATTGCTAGGGTCAAAATAGTGAAATTTTCTTCAAGTTCAATTGGAAATATCTGGGGTATTTTTAAAGTTATTTTGATAAACTTAGTATGTAAAGAAGATTTAATGTTTTCTCTTTATAAAGATACAATTCTTTTTCTTGTGTGATGATTAGTTTTCATTTCAGGTTTTTTTTTTAAATGAGGTCATGTTTCAGTGATGTGCGCTTCTTTTTCCACATTTTAAAATCAGAGAATTTTATAATTATGTTCTGAAACATGCTGCACTCAGAGTTGGGTGTTCCTATGCATATTAAAAAAGTCCTAACTTAAAGAAATTTGATGTGCTTAAAATAAAATTTGAGGCTATTTTTCACAAAAAATTTCCAAGTTGAAAACTTCAATGGATGAATACCAAAGAAACTTGCTTCTTAAAAAAAACAAAAATTACACCTTCTTTTAGAGCAATGTTTCATCTTTAATAATCAGTCCAACCAACTTGAAGTGCAAACAAATACAAAAGGAGGTGTTCTTGAAGTTTGAATTCACTGGCCACATTAATTGACATGCTCAGAGTTTTAAATCAGACTTGCCATGTACAAAAAGGATGTTGATGCAGTTAAAAACACTATGATGAAAAAAACATGGAAATCAGTGTGTGTGTGTGTGTGTATATATGGGGGGGTGTTAATGGTATGGCAGTAACAACCAGGAATCAGAGTGCAATTCTGGTGAGGTCTCATCTATTTTAATTAGTCTAACATCTGTAACTTTTTATGGTTTTAAGGATCATGAGGTAGATGACGAAAGCATTTCTTAAATAGGCAAAAATTTCTTAAATAGGTTTAGAGGACGATTTAACAAAAAAAGTTTTTTCACAAAAAAGAAGCATCCCCCCACCTATTTCTTTAGTGATAGTAGAATTGTATGTTTTTACTTGAAGGTTTTTGCATGGTTTTACAAACTCTACCTTAATATAAGGATGGAACAGTTAAAATTGATGAAGCAAGTTCAACAACAAACATTTAAGACAGCCAAGGAAATTTTAGCCACTAAAGAAGATGACTTAAGATCCTTTTTTAGATTCTTCCCATGATGTCCTTTGTAGTTGATGAACTCACTGCTATTGAAATTATATCACAGGAACTTGAAGACACAGTGACTAACTCCAGTAACTCTGATGAAGAAGAACCTTATCAAGTGATCTTCAAATATGAGAGACAAGGCCAATGGGTTGCTATATAGTGATTTTCCAAGCGTAGCTTGGATGTGGCACAAGGCCGAAAGTAAGGGGCACCCAGTGAGGATTGAACCCATTACTCAGTCGTAATTGTTCTAACGAGACAAACTTACTAAACATTACACCACCTCGAGGTACCCAAATAGGTTTCCATATACTTATGACTCCAGTTTCTACATTGGCCAAGTCATTGACATTACATCTCCAACCAGTGCAATAATCAAGTTTCTAGCTCCAACTAAAGATAGAAACTATTATTTCAGATGGTTTTTGGTGGATGACATTGCAGAGATAGAGTCAATTTTTGTCTTAAGATGGGACTTGGATTTAATGCTAGTTTCAAGTAATGGTAGAATCTGGAATGTTCCAGAAATATTGGTTATTAAAGCCTATAAAGAAATTCAAACTGCAAATCACCATCAAGAGAGGAAGTGCAGTAGGGCCATTCAAACTGCCCAGAAAGTCTTTCATCAGTTCCAAGAAATGTAGTTTTACTAATTTCAATTTTTGTTGTTTTTTTGGGGTTTTTTTTATTATTTTAAAATTGAGTTTTAAGGTTTTACAATAAGCATTTATTTGAAGAATTGACTACTAATTCCATTTGTATAACAAGTTTCAAAGTTTTGATGTCGTCAGTCCTTTTATAAATTTACAAAATTTTCAAAACGTCAAATACAAAGAAAGAGTTTTAGTATTGTAGACAAAATAACTGATTTGTTGAATTCCTCATCCAAAAATGAATAAAGTTTCAAAGTTTCAGGCTTGTACCTCCACCAGATACTTTTCTTACAGCAATTTCAAAAACGTATATCTTTTTAGCCTTTCTTTGCCCTACTAGCAAATTTTGCATCCACCAGTACTTACATGGTGAAATAACAGTTGTTTTACTGACATATTCCTGTGAAAAACATTTAGCTTCATCTCAAAGATACCATGAAACATTAACTGTAGAAATTAAATTTATATGAATGATCAAAGTTGTCTTCTTGTGTTATTTTTGCACTGTTTCTTGGATAGAATGTGATATTTCCCCCTGATAAGGCTAATCTTATCTAATAATTATTAATTCGAATAGTATTATCTTTCTTTTCTGACTTAATGACATTGAAATTTATCATGATTTTTCACTTGTTTGAAGCCTGCATCTTCACATATACACTGTTAAAATAGGCTTTTGGCCAAGTCAAACTAAAGACGGAAAAACCAACAAATTTTGAATGGTCATAACTCAGTTGCTAATTGAGGTAAGATAAATTCGGTAACATGTTTTTATGTTCTGTCAAGATCTATATGCCTACATGAAAAGCTTTAAGATATATTGAAAATAAAAAAAATAGTTTGGAATACCTAATCTATATATATATATATATATATAATCTTAAGTGGGAAATTAAAAACAAAATAAAATCATGCTAAAATATCATGGAAAATAAGGAACGCATCATCTTACAACAATAAATCCAGAAAATAGCTCTAATTACTTTCCAAAACAAATTACTAAATAACTGATCAGAACTCTTCACAAAATGCAAATACAAAATTTTTATTACATTACTCAAAAACAGAAAACTAAAAACCAATCTGGAAAAAATAAAATTAAATAAGTAAAATAAAATAGTCAGAATCAATAAATATGTATACAATTAAGTAAATAATAAACTATGAATGCACACATAAACACAAATAAATGTAATAATAGACTATATATATAATTATTAAAAGGAATTAATTTTTCTTATGTTTTCCGATTGTCAAGACAAGGGTTAAACATTTTCTTATGTTTTCCAATGTTTAACCATTGTCTTGACAATGGGAAAACATAAGGAAAATTAATTCCTTTTAATATGTGAAAATAAACTACTTTGCCTGATGAAGGTTGCAAGACTAGAAACACATGTAGCAAAAATATGGAAAATAAAGTATAATATATATTTAAAAAATCCACAATATAACCAAAAACATTTGCAGCTTCTCTTTTCTCTTTAAAATATATACTTTTCCCTCATTGGAACAACTGTAACCTCTCCCTTATATATATATATATATATATATAAATAAATGCATACACATTCCACAATACACAATTTAGATAAGAAGCTAATTATATGCCAAGAATTACTATCTTACCAGCATCGTCCAGCAATAAATTTTCTGGTTTTAAATCTCTGTGAGCCACGCCTCTGGAATGCAGATATTCCTGGAAAGAAAAATTGAAAAGTTGTGGTAATAAATTAAGATTTAACTGATCCAAAATATTTTTTGCTTATAGTTTACCAGTATAGAACTGTTGGTTCCAAGATGTTTAAGAATGACTGCAAAAACATCTCCAACCTCAAATTTATAGACAAAACATACAGATATATACTGGGATTTCTTACTAGCCATTTCATAGGCCATTTATCGGTTTCATCTCACTTAGTTGTTCTTTCTTGTCTTGGAGCCAGAATGCTGTGATCATTTGTCTGTGTTCCTTGTTGTGTGTTAACACTATTCTTAGTGTGTGAATTTTTTTTGCCTTATTACTCTTTGCCTATTTTTCTTTTGCATATATTGTTTGTTTCATATTATTTTTTTTTTTTTACCTGTTCTTTTCTTATTGCTTATTAGAAACTTTTTCACTTCTTTTTGTTGGGCATTTCTTTCAATTACATTTAACCAGGGTCAATTACTCTACAAGAAAATACACCTAAAATTGGTCATGGAAAAAATAATAATAATATTAGAATGTTAACACTGAGTTTTGTTTTTAAAAATATTTTAACATGCTTTTCATTAGCAATCAGAATTTACTAATTTATAATCCTATATATTTAATTCTGTGGTTATCAGATGGTTAATATGTTCACAACAAGTGTAATTAGGTGTTAGTCTATATCAGAAATGGATCACTCATTGTTGTATCTTGTATTTTCAAGATAACAGAGGGAAATAAATAAGGAAGACAAATTTGTAGGTAAGTAATGAAACAGAAGGTTTATTACATGAAGGTACACTTAGCAAATGACCTAATGCTAACACTGCTCAACTCTGCTTGTTCATATAAATGGATGATTATATTCATTTATCTCCTATATAAAACTCATATACTTAGATACTTTTTAATGAAAAAACTTGTTGCTGCATCTTTGTGGTTAGAGTCTTAATTTGAGGTTCAAACTTTGTTGTCTTTAACTTAACACATGCAGCACTCATGTCATACTGATACCATTCCTAGTGGTTGGTTTTATATAGTTCATGGTGAATCATATATTTCATGATGTTATTTCACTGACTTCTTGTGGGTTACTAAAAAGTTGAGGGTGGGTCAGTTCATGACCTGCAGGTCAGTGGATCACCATCAATGGTCTATAACATTTTACTTTCAAAATAAGAATAGTGCCAATCAAAATGAAATAAAAACATTTAAAAAAAAAAAAAAAATGAATTGGATTGACAATAGATTTTGGTGCAAGGTGGATAAATGGTATTAGATTGGTTTGTATGAATGAAGCCAGACTTGAGAATCATGTTGGTGAAAGAATGAAATCTGTTTCGACACCAACCCCAGGTCATTTTGGCTAGCCACATGTTTCAATTTATGACTACAATGTATTCGTCCACTGTTGGCCACTTTCAACAAAACAACAAGTTGTCACAAATGAAAAATAGTGGCAGACTGGTTCCTGGAACAACCATCCATGCAAGCTGCTAGTGGCCTGCCTGGTAGCAGCCACCGGTATAACATTGGTCCACCAGTGGTAACATTGCTGAGACAAACATACCGGCAGACTGACAGCGAGCTACCAGCAGTAAACACTAGTAGCATGCCACCTAGTGACAGATTGGTGGCTTGCATGTAGGGAAAACAATGGTTTTTTTTTCTGGGGAGGCAAGAGGGATAATGAGGAAAGTTTTTTTCTTCTAACAGAATTCATGTAGTTTCTGCAGACACTTCATTTAATAAAGCTTTTGATGTAACTTAATGTAACTTACATGTGTATTTTCTATAAATATTTTCTAGTGAGAGTTCCTCTTTGGTACCTTGACATGAAGTTAACTACAATACTAGATTGGTGGCAAGGTCTCATCATTTTACAGTTAAAATGGCTAGAAGTAAGTGCATGTTCTATATTAAGAGTTTTTGTCCTGGCACTTCACATTTTCTATTCTATCATCCTTCCTGGCTACATTTTGAGTCAGATTTTATTCTCAAACTTTTTACTTTTTGGCAACAATTTAGGCAACATAGTTTACACATAGATACACATTGACACAGGATGCATAAAGTTTCTTTTCTTTCAGCATGAATTCACCCACCACTGAATAGAGATCAAAAGGACTTTTTACTTTTGAAATTGAAATGTGAATTCAATTGTTTAAATTTTAAAAAATACTGATAAATTTTTCAAGATTCTACTAAAATGTATTTTATTACTGTAAAATAATTATTTTCGTTTCAACTACAAATTCAATAAAGGTGAATTAATTTATCTTTGACGGAGATGTTTACTCGTCATTGACGGCTTTTATTTTTGCTTTTCCTCTTTTCAGCTAGAAGAGGCACCTTCATATTCTTTTTTGTCACCTACAAGGAAATACAAAAATAGCTATGAGGTCATGAACTTGTTCTTATGATAGAAACAAACCACCTCTTGCAATAATTGACAAATATTACTGACGACTAAGAAAAAAAATTTTTCTTAAAAGACAATTTTAGCCTGTAAAAGAGCCAGATTTCTAGGATTTAGCATTAAGACTTTCATGAATTGAGAAAAAGGATGTGTGAGCAGCCCAATTTAGAAAATTCCAGGATTTTTCAAGACCAAGAAAAGGCCATTTCAAGATTTCCAGGACCTGTACGAACCCCGTTGCTAATACCCTTGGGAAAGGTATGAATCTCACTCTTCTCCTCCACCTATGGGTAAATAGTAAGACAGACTGGGTTCTACAGCATTGGGTGGCAACCACTCTAGGAGAAAGAGAACTCTAAATTCAAAATTGCATATAGCCCTGATTTCTCCAAATTCCTTTCAAGACAAGAACCATCTGGTTGCAGAATCTTCTGAAAGTTCAATTTATAATCTTTTAATGAACCTGTGAACATGTTGACATACCAGTTGATTGGGTGGCAAACAGTAAAAAAAGAAAAAAAAACCCTCTGAACTTAGCCCTCCATCCTGCTAACATAGGCCAGCATTGGCAGACTGAATTCTCTAGCATTGATTGGTAACAAATCTTGAAGAAGGACATAGCTGAATCAAAAATCAGGCAGAAGTCAACAGGAAACCATTATGTTTTTGAAGAACAATTATGTCAATGTACAGTTTACAGATATTAAAGAAAAAAGTGAAACTGTGGAAGCCATAATACTTAAGGAGGAGAATAATAGCATATTTGATGAGAATTAAAGCTTGTGCCTGATGTTTGATTAAATAAATAACAATGAATTTTGAAAATTGTGTTATTGAAGAAATATCAGTTAAAGGAAGGAATAGAGATCAATAAGAGAGCACTATGCTGACAATGGTCATGAAAAGAAGTGGAGTTAATAAAGATATAATGTCAGAAATCTTTTATATAATGAGAACTGATTCATGCCCAGGGGCATTGTCATGCTTCTGTGTATTCTGAATAAGATTCTGTAGATAATGAGAAAAAGGAAATTAATTGGTTAAAGTTTGTTGTTATTAAAGGAGAGACATAATGCGAATAAAATTCAGAAAAGCAAAAGGAAAAGTAATAATAAAAAAAAGAAAATAGAGAGGGAGAGAGAGAAAGGAAAAGTGAGGAGGGAGAGAGAGAGAGACGAAAAGTGAGGAGGGAGAGAGAGAAAGGAAGGAAAAGTGAGGAGGGAGAGAGAGAAAGGAAGGAAAAGTGAGGAGGGAGAGAGAGAAAGGAAGGAAAAGTGAGGAGGGAGAGAGAGAGAAAGGAAAAGTGAGGGAGGAGAGAGAGAAGAGAGAGAGAGAAAGGACGAAGGGAGGAGAGAGAGGCGAAAGTGAGAGAGAGAGACGAAAAGTGAGGGGAGAGAGAGAGACGAAAAGTGAGGAGAGAGAGACTAAAAAGTGAGGAGAGAGAGGACGAAAAGTGAGGAGAGAGAGAGAGAGACGAAAAGTGAGGAGAGAGAGAGAGAGACGAAAAGTGAGAGAGAGAGAGAGACGAAAAGTGAGGAGAGAGAGAGAGACGAAAAGTGAGGAGAGAGAGAGACGAAAAGTGAGGAGAGAGAGAGACGAAAAGTGAGGAGAGAGAGAGAGAGTGAGAGAGAGAGTTAAAAGTGAGAGAGACGAAAGTGAGGAGAGAGAGAGAGACGAAAAGTGAGGAGGGAGAGGTGCAACAATGAGGTGTTTAGAAAAGATGTAAACAAAGAGGAGGCTTATACTTAACATCAGGAAGAGGCAGCTGAAGTTTCTGGGACACGTAATGAAGAAGGAGGGCCTGGAGAATCTGATACTCACAGGTCGAATAGAAGGGAAGAGAGACAAGGGAAAACAACGCCTGATATACCTGGCGGGCTTAAGTAAGTGGATGACAGATCGTGGTCTGGGGAAGATGGCAGAAGGACAGAATGTTGCGAGCTATGAGGGATAGAGGGAAGTGGAGTGCCATTATCCCCTACATGAAAAGATACAGCAAATAAAAAGAAAGAAATATAATGAACCCAACAGGAATTGGAACTTGGCTCTCCACTTAACAATTTCAAGCCATTATCCATTACACCACCTGCACATCCAAGTTTATAGCACCTAGTATTACCAAACAGTCACTCATCTAAGTGCTGACCAGGTTCGACACTGCTTAATTTCAGTGATTGTATAGAAACTGGTGTTTTAATGTGATGGGGCCATAATCCAGGAGAAATGAGAGAGAGAGTGCGCAGAAAAAAATAGGAGGGAGAAGAAAGAGAGCGCAAAAAGAGGGGGGAGAAAGAGAGCGCAAAAAGAGAGGGGGAAGAAAGAGAGAGCAAAAGAGAGAAAAGAGAGCAAAAAGGGGGAAGAGAGCAAAAGAGAGAGGGGAAGAAAGAGAGCAAAAAGAGGGGGGAAGAAAGAGACAAAAAGAGGGGGGAAAGAAGAAAAGAGGGGGGGAAGAAAGAAAAAGAGAGGGGAAGAAAGAGTAAAAAGAGAGGGGGAAGAAAGAGAGCAAAAGAGAGGGGGAAGAGAGCAAAAAAGGGGAAAGAAAGAGAGCAAAAAGAGGGGGGAAAGAAAGAGAGAGCAAAAGAGAGGGGGGGAAAGAAAGAGAGAGGGGAAAAAAGAGAGAGCAAAAGGGGGGAAAGAGAGGAGCAAAAAGAGAGGGGGGAAAAGAAAGAGACAAAAAGAGGGGAAGAAAGGAGAGCAAAAAGAGAGGGGGAAGGAAAGAGAGAGCAAAAGGGGGAAGAAAGAGAGAGCAAAAAAGAGGGGAAGAAAGAGAGCAAAAAAGAGAGGGGGAAGAAAGAGAGCAAAAGAGGGGGGAAGAAGAGAGCAAAAAAAGGGGGGAAGAAAGAGAGCAAAAGAGGGGGAAGAAAGAGAGAGCAAAAAGAGAGGGGGGAAGAAAGAGAGAGCTGAGAAAGATAGAAGGAAGGAGAGGAAAAAGTAAAGAACAAAAGAACTTACTACACCATCAATTAGCTGACGGAAGTAGAACTGTGCAGAGGCTGACGACATTCCCACATCAGGTTCTGCAATAAACAAAGAAATAATGACATTAAACATTATTTTAAGTACTAAATGTATTGTTTATTTTCAGCTAACATTAGAAACCTCATATTTTCTGCATTTTATTAACTATATTCTTTTAAATTAGTTAAGGTCAGTGGAGAGAACATTTTACTTGAAGGAGACACCAAGAAAAGGCGGATCAATCAATCAAAAGTATTGCTTCAAAATAGAATAGTAAAGCTTGTGTGGCAAGAAGTTAATATCTGTGATATTACTGCATTAAATAAACAAATCAGAATAGAAGGCCAAACAGAACGAAATTATAGTAGAAATATTATGTTGAAGCTAAAAATGTTGATTCACTGTGTCATGCAAGACAGTTTCTCCCTCCAGAATCTATCTTACCTATCTCTAAATCTACCATTTGTCCATGCTTAGAATATTCCTGCTATATATGGTCTGGTACTCTTGCTATTTATCTACAGCTCCTTGATAAGATCCAAAGAGGAATCAGTAATATTACTGGTCCTGATCTGGCATCTTGGCTTCAGTCACATTCTTACTGACATAAAGTTGCTCCCCTGTGCCTTTTCTATAAATACTTTCATGGTAATTATTTGAATGAGTTCTTTGCTATAGTAGTAGTGGGAGTTCCTTATTTTGCAGACTGCTAATGACCAGTGATCGTCACCAGATGTGTTTTCTGCCACTCTGAACTGTTATTTTGAACTGCAAATTTGTTTATGTTAAGTTCGATTTATTTTACCTTTTTCTTACATTCTTTTATACTGTTTTTTGCAAAAGTTTTTGATTTTTTCTTTTTCAATTTATTACCCCCCCATTTTTATTTTTTCCTTTTATTATCAGTTTTTGATGTTCTCTTATTTTAAAGTTATTTTTTGAATATATTTGTTTCATTTTTATTTTCTGTAACCACCTTGCAAAACTTTATTTTTTTCTTTAATTATTTTACATGTTAATTTTTTGTTCTACTTTATTTTTATTTATTTACTACTTGTTACTTCGTTTTTTTGTTTTTGTTAAACCTTCTGTGTGCTTATTTTTTCTAATTTTTATGTTTATTTTGTCTGATCTGTGTGCTTTTTCTTAATTTTATTTTCATGTTTTGTTTGTGTTTTGTTCGTTTTGGGGCTGACTTGTTTTTCTTAACAGCAGCCATCTTGTATTTGTTAAAATTTGTTATTTGTATGTATTAATTGTTTTGCATTTCTTTTTGTAGCATATAATTTTATTTTTCATTGTTGTATTATTTTAAAAAGCAAAAAACATATTGTTTATTGTTAAACATTGTCTGTTTTACTTTGTGTAATCTTTGCATATATAACCATTTTTTTGGTGTGTATTTCTGTTTTGTGTTTAAAGGAAATTCATGATTCATCTTTTGAGTAAGTTTTTCTTTTTAAGTTAACTTTTTGCAAGTCTAACGGTTTTGTATTTTCATCTTGTCTTCTTTTCATTACTGTTGTTGCAGTAAATAACAGTTTATTTATATTTATCTCTTCTTTTTTGTTAATTTGCTTTTCTGTTTCCTCCGTTCCATTTTAGGTAAGAAAAAAGAAAAAAAATAGAGAGAGAGAGAAAAAAAAAAAAAGAAAGCTGAAAATAATTAAGATGAAAAGGAAATGATGGATGCTGAGAAGAGCCACAATTTGGTTGACAACGAAGATTCCAGCAAAAGTATGGTTTCTGAGAAAAGTAAGAATTCAGAAAATAGTAAGGTGGCCAAAAGTGATCAAAATTTATCTAAACAGACCAAAGATGCAGACAACAACAAAAACAAAGAAAATGTAGCGGTCAGAGAAACTCCCTCTTGCTGGATGTCCCCACTGAAATACAAAATCAATATCATGTGGTTCCTGGAGAAAGCCAAGAGCTATGCACATCTGGTATCAGCAGATGGGCTCTTGACAAATTCCAAGGAACTAAAGAAGGTTGAAAAAAGAATTGTGTCAGTCTTTGTGGTGGACAAACGTTCGTACACAATTTGTCAAAGGACAGGTGGACACCCAGCTATCAGTATATGAGGTTCCTCCTCAGATTGTCAGGGAACACTTGGCTGCCTTTTACAGATACTCAGTGCTTTCTTTGATGATCTGACCAGGGGATGAAGTTTTGAGATTATGCTCGATTGGAAGGCCTTCTCCAACTGTCTGGATGTAGAGGGCCAGAAAATGCTGATAATAGCCACCAGGCATAGAGCATCTTGACAATGGTGAGTGCTGGGGCTCATGGCAAACAAATATGGGCAATGGTGATGGAGGCAAATCATGTCTTTAGCATGGTAGCTTTTTTCGATAACGACAATGTCAAAAAGTTGAATAAATATCGTTCAGGGAGGCTCCCACTTTTCGTTCATCCCTCCCTTTATAGAGCCCTAAAACTTATGTTCATCTTGGACATTGGCAGCCTGTCTCTTGATGGCGCCATCAAGACTATGATGGGTACAGGATCAATGGGAGAGGCTGTTTCCTTACCCTGGCATATTCAAGGCAGGAGAGCAACCATAATCAGTTTCATTATGGCTCTCTGGTTAGCAAGTGTAAATGCACAAAGCCTGAGGTCAGAGTTTCACAGGGCGAGGCTCTCTTGTGACCTTCAGCATCTTGGGGTGAATATATTTTGTGTGCAAGATACCTGGTTTTCTTCTTGCAATTATGACGGCATTCTGTAGGGGGGGGTCCTCTATTCAGCATGTTTTGATGGACACTTGAGAGGTGTCTCTTCGCTGGTGATCAAGTCTTTGAAGGCTGCATGTTCGCTTGTCTTCACAGATCCGGCGGGCAGACTTTGCATGCTGGATATTACCAGAAAGGATAAAGCTCTTCGTCTAATTGGGGTTTATGCACCCAATGTCCATTCTGAACAGCCTACTTTATTTTGGCAGATTGAACGGTTTTTGACAACATCCCATCAGGTAGTTTTAACTGTGGATCGGAATGCTGTCCTTGACCCCAACATAGATATATAGGGCCAAATTCTGGTACTAGCAACCAAGACATGAAACCATTTTGAGACTTTATCGATAAGTTTGATCTTGTTGATAAGTACTGGAATGAACACCTTCAAGAGGTAGTATAGTCTTGGACTAATAGGGGTGGCTTGTTTACAGAGGTGTTCTCTAGCTACCTCACCTGAGTCTTAGGAGAGTTGGTGTAGGGCTCTTAGGGTGTCCAAATTTCCATTATATAGTTTATTTGGATCATTGGCTTGTCCAGGTCCGTGTAAACTTAGATAAGCCTAAGGTTAAGATGGCTGGCTATGGGAAATTTAACTCATCATCATTATTTGGTGAGCAAGATTTCTGGGACCAGCTGCTACTAATGATACAGAGGGAATCTACGGGGGCTGTGGTTGGGAATGTCTGGTGAAATAATTTAAAATCCAAAATTAGAATGTTTGCTGATAATAGTTCTTGGCTCAATCTAGACAGATTAGAGGTGCAAATGGCTTGTGAGAAAAAAGTAGATTGGGTGATCAAATCCCGTGATAGTGGGAACATAGCTTTAGCTAAGGGCAGAGTTGGCCTCCTTTCTTATCAAGGAGGATCAAGCTCTGGTAGTTAGGGCTATGTTAAAAAGAATGTCCTCTGAGGCAACAAATATAGCCGCTGAATTGTGCACAGAGGAAACTTGGAATGCATCTCAGCAACATATCGTGTACATCACATTGCTGGATAAGCAGACTGTGAGTACAAATGCGGGCATATGTGAGGTTTTTTATGATTACTTTCAGGAACTTTTCATCAGGGAGCCCAGTTTGAGCCCTGCTCAGTTTGATGACTATTTAGCTAACTTTCCCTGCCTTGAGGTAGCTGAAGTACAAGGGTGCCATTTGAGAGTCAGAAATCTGGGAGTCACTGAAGCAGGTTGACCTGGACAAATCTAAAGGATTAGATGGTTTTCCCTACGAAGTGTATTTGAGGCAGTCACTTGTTTTAGTTTCTTTGCTGGCGCTGATTTCTGGCAACTGGATGAAGCAGAGCTGTATACTTCAACACTTCATCAGGGGGTGAGATCAACTTGCTACACAAGGACAAGAACGATGGGGATGGGCTATGTAACTTTCGCCCTTTAACTATGTTAAATACAGAGTTAAAGATTTTGGCTAAGGTCTTAGGGAACAGTTTGGAGGCTGTCTTCTCTAGTCTGATTGGCTCTGAGCAGACTTGTGCTGTGAAGGGCAGGACTATTCAGAACAACTTTCATATGGTACACTTGATCATCAAGCAGGTCGACAGTGAAGCCATGCTGATCAATTTAGATTAGCCCAAGGCCTTCCATAGGGTTGACCATCGATTTCTGGATGTTCTTTTGGCAGCTGAATGGGGTACAATCACAACCTTTCATATTGTCTCGCTCCATTCATCAAGGTTGTCCACTTTTGTCTTTGCTGTACGTTCATGTATTGGAACCTTTCCTTCGCAAGTTAAATACAAATCTGGTCCTACGCGGAATTTCCCTACCTGGTGCTACCACCTCAGTCAGGTATTCTGCCTATGCTGATTCTGTTTTGGTTCTTGTGTTGGGCAGAGCCGAGATTGACAAAGTCAGTAAAGAAATCAGTGGGCATGAGACAGTGACAGGGGCCAAGATCAACCGTGATAAGCCTGTTGGTTTGCAGTCGGGTGTGTGGAAGGGAGTTTCTCTTCCTCGACTTTTTCTCTGGACGGACAGTCCGATCAAGCTACTTGGCTTCTGATTCAGTTCCAATATCCATTTGGTAATGAATTGGATGGAGGTACAAGGGAAGGCCAAGATTGCAGTTCGTCTGTGGTCTTGGAGGAATCTTTCCTTAAAGGGAAGGGCAGAAGTATGTGTTTCACACATCTACCCGATTCTCCTTTACTGACTCTGTGCTTTCACTTCCATTTACTACACTAATGTCATTAGTAAGGCTCTTGTTCTCCTTCTTGTGGGGTGGCAAGGCCGCTAGGGTGTCTTGGGAGATCTGTTGCCCCCACCCAGTCAGGATATGCCTAGCATTGAGATTCGTCAATATA